TTATATTTTAATAAGAAATAAATAAAATTTTGTTATTACCCTCACCCTCTCAATCCCTCTTCTTCCCCTTCTTTCTTTCTTTCTTTCTTTCTTTCTTTCTTTCTTACCTTGGGTCGATGGAAAAACCAAACCCAGATCTACTGGGTTCCATTGAACCCAGCTGCTAGGTTCAATGGAACCCAGATCGGTTGGGTTCCGTTGAAACCTAGCCTTGCTGAGTTCGTCGAAACCCAGATCGGCTGGGTTTTGATGAACCTAGATCGGCTGGGTTTTGATGAACCCAACTTTGCTGGGTTTTGATGAACCCAACTTTGCTGGGTTCGACGAAACCTAGATTTACTGGGTTCCGTTGAACCTAGCCTTGCTAGTCACACAAACCTAACCTTGTTGGTCCCGCAAACCTAACCTTGTTGGGTTCGTCGAAACCCAGCCTAGCTAGGTTACTAGGTTTCGACGCTGAGTTCATGTTTTTTCATTCTTCTTTTGATTTCCATTCCTAGTTCTTGATAAATTTGGAAGTTAATTTACAATTTGATTGCATTTTTGTTGGAATTTGATTGATATTGTTTATTGAATGGTTAATTTGATTTGATGAGATTTGCTGGGTTTGATGAACCCAGTGGCTTCGATGAAATCCAATAGTTGGGTTCGATGACAGAGAACTCAAATTCTCCTTTGGAGCATTCTAGGGTTCATAGACATATTATTTTGTAAGGATACACCTCTATAAGTAGTAGAGGCAACCCAACTCAAGAAAATCTCATCTCGAATTCCCTGCATTTGGTCAATTTCTAAAAATTCCCCCGAGAAAAGAGAAGAAGAAGAAATGAGTTAAAATCAATTTTGCAGATGGAATGAAGATGAGAGAGTATTCAGACAAGAAGAAGAAATGGGTTATGATCGATTTTGTAGGAGTGGAGATGAAAGAGCAATTTAGGGTTCACATGCATTTTACCCCTTTATTGGTGTTTTGTAGGCAATGTGGGGCCCATTTGAGTGAATTTGGTGCCTTTGAGTGGTGGAAACATGACATAGCAAAATGTTTTGTCCATATCAATACTTTTTAAAGTTGTGCTCTTCATATCATAAAAAATAAAAATAAAAAATGTCACATGAGTAGAGTTAACGGTCCAAATTGACAAAAAGACTAACGTTATGTATTTCTTAGAGTTGATGAATAAAAAAAGTGCAAAAAATTGTTAAAGGACCAAAAAAATGCAACTCTATAAAGTTAAGG